ACTATATGACAGGGCTACTGTAATCAAAATAGCATGGTACAGGTACCAAAACAGAGATATAGACCAATGGAATAGAACAGAGGCCTTGGAGGCAACACAACATATCTACAACCATCTGATCTTTGACAAACCTGACAAAAACAAGTAATGGGGAAAGGATTCCCTGTTTAATAAATGGTGTTGGGAAAACTGGCTAGCCATGTAGAGAAAGCAGAAACTGGACCCCTTCCTGACACCTTTCACTAAAATTAACTCCAGATGGATTAAAAACTTAAACATAAGACCTAACACCATAAAAACCCTAGAAGAAAATCTAGGCAAAACGATTCAGGACATAGGAGTAGGAAAGGACTTCATGACCAAAACACCAAAAGGATTGGCAACGAAAGCCAAAATAGACAAATGGGACCTAATCAAACTCCACAGCTTCTGCCCAGCAAAAGAAACAGTCATTAGAGTGAATCAGCAACCAACAGAATGCGAAAAAATTTTTTGCAGTCCACCCATCTGACAAAGGGCTGATATCCAGAATTTACAAGGAACTAAAACAGATTTATAAGAAAAAAACAAACAAGCCCATTCAAAAGTGGGCAAAGGATATGAACAGACACTTTACAAAAGAAGACATACATGAGGCCAACAAACATATGAAAAAATGCTCATCATCACTGGACATTAGAGAAATGCAATATCTACATTGAGATAACCATCTCATGCCAGTTAGAATGGCGATCATTAAAAAATCTGGAGACAACAGATGCTGGAGAGGATGTGTAGAAATAGGAACACTTTTACACTGTTGGTGGGAGTGTAAATTAGTTCAACCATTGTGGAAGACAGTGTGGCGATTCCTCAAGGACCTAGAAACAGAAATTCCATTTGACCCAGCAATCCCATTACTGCATATATATCCAAAGGATTATAAATCATTCTACTATAAGGACACATGCACACGAATGTTCATTGCAGCACTGTTTACAACAGCAAAGACCTGGAACCAACCCAAATGCTCATCGATGATAGACTGGACAGGGAAAATGTGGCACATAGACACCATGCAGCCATCAAAAACGATGAGTTTGTGTCCTTTGTAGGGGCTTGGATGAACCTGGAAACCATCATTCTCAGCAAACTGACACAAGAACAGAAAATCAAACACCACATGTTCTCACTCATAGGCGGGCGTTGAACAATGAGAACACATGGGCACAAGGAGGGGAGCATCACACACTGTGTCTGTTGGCAGGGAAACTGGGGAGAGACAGCATGGGGAGAAATGCCAGATAAAGGTGAAGGGGAGGAAGGCAGCAAATCATGCTGCCATGTTTATACCTATGCAACAATCTTGCATGTTCTTCACATGTACCCCAAACCTAAAATGCAATTAAAAAATAAATATTTCTAAAAAAAGAATAGTTATTTCCACTGTTATTCTTTTTATAAAACTAGTGTATATTCAAGACTGATATTTGGCAAAGAGATTATTGAAAAAAGTATACAGTTGTGTGTGGCAGCTCATACCTTTAATCTTAGCACTTTGGTAGGCTGACGTGGGCAGATCGCTTGAGCCCAGAAGTTCCAGACCAGCCTGGGCTATATGGCAAAACCAAATTTCTACAAAACAATACAAAAAATTAGCCAGGCATGGTGGTGCATGCCTGTAGTCCCAGCTACTCAGGAGGCTGGGGTGAGAGGATCACTTGAGCCCAGTGAGGCCAAGGTGCAGTGAGCCAAGATCATGCCACTGCACTCCAGTGTGGGTGACACAGTGTGACCCCATCCTCAAAAAACAAAAAGGATAGACGAATATTACTTAGGAAATGTAATGTAAAATTTCTGTGTAAAATATCAGCAAATAGAATGCAGCAATGCATCCAAAGTAGGACTGTTTCAGGAATGCTGTGGTGTTTCATACACACTGAGGAAATGTATTAACTTATGTCAACAACTTGGAAGAAAATCTTCATATAGCAACAGATGCTAAAAGGCATTTGATAACGTATTATAGCTATAACTAATAAAAATCCTAAGCAAAATAGGAATAGAAAGAAAACACTTAAATTAGTAATAAAGACCATTAATAAAAGCCTACAGTAAATACAATCCTAAATGGCAAAATACCAAAACTTTTTCAACCAATGTCAGTTAACTATACAAGGCTATCCCAGAAATCTGGGGAAAAACTAAAGTATGAGAATTTGCTAAGATGGCCATATTGAAGACGGATATGCAAAACCAAGAGCTTTTCTCTATTCTATTCATTCAAATCTAGAAATAGGAAACTGTAACATATAATATTTAGAAATGTATTTAATAAGAAAGAGACAAACTTGTAGGAAAGATGAAAATGGTAGAATCTTATTAAAATACATAAAATGAAATGAGAATGCCAATAGGTTCATGACTGGAAAGACTTAATATGAATTTTCCCCCCAAAAATGTAAATCTGATGCAATTACAATTAGATTGCTCAAACAAGGTTTTTGTTTTTCTTTATATGTTTGACTGAATTATTTGGAAAAATAGATGTTGGTTACTAGCTTAGAAAATATATGAAAATAAAGAAAAGTGAGACTGACTTGCCTCATCAAATACCAGAATATACTATAAAGCCACTGTAACCCAATCAACATGATACAGAGACAAATTGTGCGTGGACTCGAATGAGACTCCAGGAATAGCTCTCAGAATATATGGTAATTTAAAGGGGGCAGATGTGTTCAACTGGAAAAGAATGAATCACTTCGTGGTTTTGATACAAATGGCTATTTGGAAGAAAAATATAAGTAGACTACTACTCCATACCAAATGCAGACATACATTCTAAACAGATAAAAGGCTTAAATGTAAACCCCACCTGCCACACATACCACCTTCTCTATGAAAATTCCTGTGATTTTATCAGTCAAAATAAACCTCTCCCTGCTCCCTGAACTTGCAAATAGCTTTGGGTGTCCTCATCTGAGGACACCATTTGAAATTTAGGAAACTGAGTAAGCTGTCTGGTTCGTCTGTTCTCAAATGCACCTGTCCAGGCAGGGAATTCAATCTACAGAGAACATCCCTGACAACTTGGCTATTCACCAACACTGCATAACCCCCATCTTCCACATTCCCAATCACCCATAGGTAACTCTGCTTCCTCCTTCTTAGAGGAAATGGAGGTCATCTGGTTCCAGGAGTCTCAGCCCTGACTCATGATACAGCCACTTTCTCACCTCCCCTTTCCCTGGGCTTCCCAGATGCTATGATGAGCCAGTTCCCCTCCTCCCCACTCATTTTTGTCCTCTGCTCTTCTGTTTATGTCTCCCTCTACTCATCCCAGGGCTGGTGGCTACTCTCCAAATTTAATCCTTATTCCTGTGCCCTTTCTATTCCCTCTCTGCAGCTAGGTCTCCATTCCCAATCCTTAATGCTCAGGATTCCCAATTTATATTTTCAGTTTTTAACCTGTCATCCAAGTTCTAGCCTTGTGTCTATAATCATTACCTATTTCCTCTTGAACACCTTATTTCCTTATTTCTATCCTTCCAAGCATAAAATGTGAGTGTGACTTTTGACTCTTCCTCATTAATATCCCGTTAGTTTCTAAGTTCCATTCAAAATGTCTTTCTGGATTCCCACTGCCACCACTGTGGGAAAGCCCATGACCCCTAAGCTTAAATTATCCATCTAAGTCAACTCCCCTGGATCCTCTTCTGCCAGCATAACCTTTCCTCAACACCATTCTCACAAGGCCTGCCCTGTGCTCAGGGGGCTTGTGCTATGCAGGTCTGCAGCATCCCAAATCCTCACTGCTTAGCCCAAGGTCTTAAGAAATATACCTGTCTCCCTCTCTCCCTCCTCAGCACGGTCTTTGTACAGCTAAGGTGTGCTCTTGAACCTGAAAGGTCCAGGGCCACTGCAAATAAAAACTGCTCAGTGAACATGGATCAATTAATTGGGTGATAGGTAGAAGACACTAGAAAATACAACCTTTAAAGAATGCCAACGACAAGCATTATTAAACAAAGCAACTCACCCTGATCAAACAAATATACATCTTTTTAAAGGGAGTAAGGAATGAAATATAACAGCCATAAAGATACTGGATCTTAACATATAATAAAATCTATCTAAAACAATTAAAAAACAAAGGTAGTGGAAATGGCAAAAGCAACAGTATCAAACTCAAGGTGTCATGGTTTCAGAGGGCAGGTGCCAATCATCTGACTACCACCTTGACTTTTATTTACAATGCCTGGGAGTGCCATTGGATCTAGAGGTTGGGTGTAGGAAGGGCATCATTCTGAGTGGTAGAGCCTATCTCAATCCAGCTTTCATGACAGGCTACCCCACAAGCCTCACGAGGAGGTGCACAGCACTGGCTGAGCAGGGTACAGTCGACTTCAGACACAGAGGGCTGGCACAGGACTTCCCATTTGCTTCCTTTCAGGTGCTTCCAAATCACTTTGCCTTTTAGAAGAAACAGGAAAAAGAAGTGGGGGAAAGAAGGAGGGTGATAAGGTTTGGCTGTGTCCCCACCCAAATCTGACCTCGAAATGTAATCCCCACATCGGAGGAGGGGACTGCAGAAGGCCTGGTGGAAGGTGATTGGATCATGGAGACAGTTTCTTCCCATGCTGTTCTCATGATACTGTGGGAGTTCTCACCAGATCTGATAGTTGAAAAGTGTTCGGTGGTTCCCACCGACCTTCCTCCTGCTGCTATGAGAATACATGCCTTGCTTCCCCCTCCCCTTCCACCACCATCATTCTACATTTCCTTAAACCCCCAAATCATGGTTCCTGTTAAGCCTGTGGAACTGTGAGTCAATGAAATGTCTTTTCTTCATGAACTACCCGGTTTCAGGTACGTCTTCATAGCAGTGTGAGAACGAACTAATACAGAAGGTAAGAAGGAGACATTCAAAAAGTACAGCTCTCTGCCCCAAGGAAGGTTTAAAGGAAGGCAACAATCTGCCCTTGAACGAAGTTTCCAATATAGAGAGGCCAACTTACCTCTACTTTTTCTACTACTTGCTTCCCAAAGGAGCAAACTTTGGTGGAACAGGTGACTGTCATATTTTCAGAACTCTCGTACTGACTGGTTACACCATAAAAAGCCCCAGCATCATCTTGAATATTGCAGTTTAAATCAGCCTGTTGGAAAGGAAATGGAGGTGTGGGTTATTCTCTCATCCCAGGAGTCATGGCAGCGAGCATTAATTTTCAGAGTAAGACCTCCACTTCCTGAATGAAGACAGAGGCTGGCTTGGGAAGGTGATGCTCATCTAGAAACAAATTAAATGCCCACCTCATTTTTTGAAGAGGATGCTAATTTGGACAGTCCTCTCTTGAAATGACATGCTACATGTACTGATTTTGTTTTACTTTCTTGCATTCAGTATCAGAATACTACTACCTTGCAATAAAAGATCCACAAGGTCTCTGAAGTATGCACAGAACGCAGAATATCAATTGGATTCATATTCACTCATCTTCAGAGATTTTTTTTTAAAAAAAAAAAACAAGAGACTGCAGCTGACTAGACATTTGTCATACACACACACACACACACACACACACGCTTTATTAAAAATTAGAATATCTGGAGGGGAAATTGTTCCTAATAAAGACGGGCTTACAAAGATGTTAAATAATGAACATAAGTTGCCATTCATTTAACACATTTTATTAAGTACCTACTACGAGAGGTTCATGCTAAACAATGTACAGGTCTTGGCTACAACTAATATGGAAGATAAATAAAATAACTATAATTCAGATAGAAATAAGTACCATGTAAAAGATACTTAGAGTTCCAGCAACAGAAGCCATGACTTTCCACTGGAGGTCTCAGTTCAGGAATGATTTAGATTGGCACATGCAGGGAAGGCTGGGGTACAGTGCAGGCAAAGGCCTGGAGTGCTATATTCTATCTTCTGTGCATGGACTAAGGACCTTAGACTGGGAGTTTGGAAGTGCAACTAGGGTACAGGTTATGCGGGGCTAAAAAGGGGAATAGATTATATTCTGTAGGACATGGAGACCCCTTTAGAGCTTGAGTGCTAAGGAAGTGATGTGATTAGTACTGTGTTTCAGAGAGAAATGTCTTCAGCAGGATGCAATGTCCCCTGGAGAAACTGGCTGCTGCAGTGTTTGGATCACTGCTGTAGTCTGAATGTTCCCCCCAAATACATACATTGGAAACTTAATCCCCAGTGCAACAGTGCTGGGAGGTGAAGCCTACTGGGAGGGGTTTAGGTGTTGAGTCTCTGTCCTTGCATATGGGTTAATGCTACTATAAATAGGGCTTCCAGGAGTAAATTGGCTCTCTCTGGCCCTTAATCTGCTTTCCACCAGATGTGACAGCCTTGATCTTGGACATCCCAGCCTCTAGAAATGTGAGAAATAAATTTCTGTTCTTTATAATTTACCTAGGCGGTGGCATTCTGTTGTAGCAGCACAAAACAGACCAAGATGGCCACAGAGTAATAGTTTCCTTCCCTCAAATATCTACCAACACCCTGCTCCACATCAGGCACAGTGTTCGGAGCTGGAGATAAGAACAAGCAAAAGCTGAGCCAGGGCCTGCTCTCCTGAGGCTTACGATTAAATGATGAGCATACCACACAGAGCTAAGCACCAGGGAGAGAGGTACAGGGGGATATGAGCACAATCTGTGGAGAGTGGGTCCCCAAGGTCAAGGGCGCTTCTGATGATGATGCAGTTCAGATCCCAAGAAAGATGAGGCTTAGGTAAGAAGGAACATTCCATAAGAGAGAATAGGGTGCTCAAAGGGCACACAGCCAGAAAGAAGGACTAAAGAAAAAGCAAGAGAGAGAGGATGAAAGGAAAGCTGGGGAGGTGGGAGGGCTTGGGTCTCATATCCTGAGACCAAAGAAGACAGTGAGCGGACAAGCCTGGAACAGTGACAGGGCACAGTCAGCTCTGCATTCAAAAGGCACCTCTGACCACAGCTCGGAGAAGACTCCAGGAGAGAGCAGAGAGAATGTATACATATACCAGGAGCCATTATAGCAGTTCAAGCAACAGATGATAAAATGTGGGCTGCTATGGTGGCTGTTGAAGCAGAGGTACATGGATCTCACACTCAAATGAGATTTTATATTTTGTGAGGTTTGGCTTTTCTTTTCCCCCCCTTGAGACAGGGTCGGGCTCTGTCCCTTAGGTTGGAGTGCAGTGGTGTGAGGTTCACTGCAACCTCTGCCTCCCAGGTTCAATAGATTCTCCTGTCTCAGCCTCCCAAGTAGCTGAGATTACAGGCATGTGCCACCACACCCAACTAATTTTTGTATTTCTAGTAGTGACTAGGCTGGTCTTGAACTCCTGGCCTCAAGTGATCTGCCCGCCTCAGTCACTCTCACCTGAGATTACAGGTGTGAGGCACTTAATTACACCAGATTTGGCAGATTCTGACTGGCTAATTTTTGTACCTTGACAGGCACTAACCACTAAGACGAGTCATCTTATATCCTTTAAAATAAATACTTGTATTTAAATATCTTTCTTCAATTGGTTATTAGGAAAATGTCCATCTCCTTAGGCAACTCTTCCTATTTTCTGCCGACAAACAAAGAGAACCATGTACCCCACATTCCCCTTTTCACCTTATGTGCCAAAAATGCAAAGCTAAATTCAGAGTTCACTTACAGTAATTAACTTGCCCGAGGTGCTTCTAATAGCTACTAGCAGTCAGGGTATAGTTCCTTTTACTCGTTTCCAATCTGCTTTAACTTGTACTTATCCAGTTTTACGTTACCCATAAATGTAGTGAGTTTTCTCATATTCTGCTTTTTGGATTTTATGGGGTATAGATCATAAATAAATAAAAATACCCAGGGGTGCATTTTTCTCACATTTAAAGGTTTAACATTTGGTTCCAGAAAAGAGCAGCTTAGCAGGAAATCATGCATATCTTTCCTTAACTGAGAACAACATCTGAGCTCCCAAGGCTGATGAGGCCCCTCTGTCTAACTGAGCTCCAACCTCCAGGGGCAAAGGGCTACCATATGCCCCAGGCACACAGGGGCTCTGAACACTGGAATTCCCACTGAGCTTTCCACATGGTAGTGTTACCTTCAAGAACTGCCGCTGCCTTACTTTGCTGCCACCTTAGAATACTTTGCTGTGAACAGCAGCTCAGTTGCTTTATGGTGGCAGGATTAATGCTTATTATTATGATGTAGCTTGTGCCAAAACGTTCCAGCATTTTTTTTAAGTAAAAACATGCATGTGGTAAATAGAGGGGGGAAAAATAAAACTGTAAAAAAGGCATCGACCCCCAAATTTGTCAACCTCCCTAAGGGTAACCAGCATTATCCATTTCTCAAGTGTCCTTTCAGAGATATTTAGCACTTAAATATTTAAGCACATACATTCCTCCTTTTTCACACAAATAGTAGCACATTATATTAACTTTTCTAAAACCTTGCATTAAACATATATATATACGTACATAGACATCTTAAAACTCGTATAGTACTAATATGGAATTTCAGTATTATAAAGTACAGGCGTTTAAAATAATGAATAGCCACACTTTCTACTGGCTGCAATCTGTTCTATAGCACAGATATGCGGTAATTTTTCTTTTTTTTGAGATGGAGCCTTACTCTGCCACCCAGGCTGGAGTGCAGTGGCGTAATCTCAGCTCACTGCAACCTACGCCTCCTGGGTTCAAGCAATTCTCCTGCCTCAGCCTCCTGAGTATCTGCGATTACAGACATCTGCCACCATGCCCAGCTAACTTTTCTATTTTTAGTAGAGACAAGGTTTCACCATCTTGGCCAGGCTGGTCCTGAACTCCTGACCTCATGATCCACCCACCTTGGCCTCCCAAAGCGCTGGGATAACAAGCGTGAGCCACCATGCCAGGCTAATATGCCATAATTTAAAACACGCTCTACTGGTGAATATTTAGGATGCTTCCCAACAATGCTGCAATAAGTTTGTGTTGAGAGGTGCATTCGAAGTTATTTTTATTTTTCTTTCAACTTTAAATTCCCAGCTTTGAAAGGGAGTATTCATGTGTTATGAATACATTGTGAGCTAACATTATACTAGTTGATTTTGATGTAATCAAGTTGTTCTGAAAGACTATTAAATAATCAAATACAGTCCAGCCAGCTGGGTGTGGTAGCACACCAGCATTCCCAGTTACTCACGAGGCTGAGGCAGGAGGCTCATTTATGCCCAGGAGTTTGAGACCAGCTTGGACAACATAGCGAGAGCCTATCTCTAAGCAAGGGGGGGTTGTGGGGGTGTCTAGTGGTTTTGGTATATAGAGTGGAAAGTGGAAGGGAACATAGTGAAATAAGCATTTGTGTGTGAGGGGCAGGGGGTAACTGAGAGAGTAAATAGATTGTTTTTAAAAACTGACAACCTTAACTTACTTAAAATATACAAAATAATCTGCCAATATATATAATTTTAAAATGTTAACTAAGTTCAGAATGACATTCACCAAGATTTGATGTTAGTAAAAATGCTGAGTATGTTCACTAGTGTTATGCTTCTGTCTGTACAAGGTTCCATGCTTAAGTTACACTGGTGAAAGCAACTGTCCCACAGCAGTGGCATACCCAGCAGATCTGACACATTTTTAAGACCCGCTTCCTTTATTTGACAAAATGACTTTCAATAGTAACCAACACTCTATCTTAGTTATTTAAAACTTTAAACATAAAAATTCCAAAAGCAGAAATAGAGAATGAAGGAATGGGAAAAAAGTTGTTTCCTCATCTTCATCATCATTCTGCTACTGCTGCTCACTGGAGAATCTATTTAACCACTGGAACAAGTAGCACCATGGGGACTGTGGACTCAGACTGCACCTGAAGTGAGTCCGAGGCTGAGTCCACAGGCATTACTAATGGAGAAGTAATACAATGGAGAATGTGCATGCTAATTTGAAGCATATAGTTGTTTTATATATAAAATAAAAATTCAACATTATATATATTGTAAATGTGTGTGTGTGTGTGTGTGTGTGTGTGTGTGTGTATATATACGAATAAAATAAAAATTCTGCTGGGCACAATGGTTCACACTTGTAATCCTAGCACTTTCAGAGGTTGAGGCAGGGGGATCGCTTGAGCCCAGGGGTTCCAGACCAGCCTGGACAACACAGGGAGAGT